GCTAGACTACTCAGTGGAGTGAAAAAATACCAGCATATTTTCCCCACTCTGGCCGCATTGCATTGGCTGCCCATCCGCTTCCGCATCGAATTCAAAGTGTTGATGCTTATGTACAAAGCCCTAAACGATTTAGGGCCTCGATACCTGGCGGAACGCCTACTCCCACCTAGATCTACCCATGTCACTCGTGCGAGCCAGGAGGTGAGGCTGAGGAGCCTAACGCCGAGGGAGGCCCAGAAGGAAAAGACAAGAAACTGGGCCTTCTCGGCGGTGGCTCCTTGCCTCTGGAACAACCTACCTCCTGAGATTTGTGTGGCCCCCTCGCTGGGTAACTTTAAAAATCAACTTAAAACATGGATGTTTTGGCAGGCCTTCCCTCCAGTCAATCCCTGATGCCCTCTTTCTCCCTTCTATTTGTCTATTTTATTATGTTTATTTTTATGTAAAACTGTTTTATATATATTCACTGTTCTATTTTATGTTGTTAGCCACCTAGAGTGGTCTTAACTGACCAGATAGGCGGGATATAAAATAAATAAAGAAATAAAGAAATAAATTTTAGCAACAAACTGCCACAAGTTAAGAAATATCCACAGGCATTGTCTGTTGCATCTTGAGTTCCACTACTCTATGTGTAACAGAAAATGCTTACAGAGATTTCTTAACTTAAGGCAATTCATCACTAAAAGTGATGCCTTTTGTGTAACTGTGCAACACAAATTTGGCCAATATTCCCATCTGTTTTTTTGTAAAAAGAAAACAGAGTTTTCTGCTCTTTTTTTAAAGAAAAGTATTATTCCAAGCCATCCTAATAGCTTTTACTGAAACACAGGCCACCAAATGCCTCAAAATAAGAAGTAGATTAAAATCAATTAATATATACCAGGGTTCTAAATGAGCCATTACACAATATATTAGACAAAGCATGCAACCCTATGCACTGTTATCTGGGAAAGGTTAAAAAAATTAGAGTTTGATTAACTTGATAAACTAAAACTTACTCTTGCTTCATTCTGTTGAAGTTTTTCTTCCATACTTAATGCTGTTGGAGAATCTAGAAGAGCAATCTACATTAGGCAGATAAAATAAATAGAGTTAAATAGAAATATATACGGCATTTTACACTGCAGGTTTAGGCCATTATCCTAAAACTAATCTTGTGGCAAAAATTCCTAATGCCTGCAATTGACTGAAATTCCCCAGTATCACTGAATCTTCAACAGAGAAAGATTGAGAAGAAGATAGAAAGAGTGAGGGACACAGAGTGTACTATCCCAGTGGAGTAATATTAAAAAGGAGTACAGCTTGGTTTTAGATAGAAGAACAGGGCCATCCATTGCACTTGTTACACACCTCTCAAATGCCACCTCAAGGAAGATAAATGCTTCTGTGTGAATGGTAGAGTCGTCATCAGAGTTGAGACAACCTGAATATCTGTGAAAAAGCTTAGACTTGCTTCAGAAGAAACAGACATGTCCGGCATTTCAGCAGAATTTATGCAGCAGAATTTAATTTGAATTCAGTGTGATTAAGAATACCAAAATAAAATTTAATTTGAGAGATGGGGGTATTCGTAGACGAATATCTCCCTGCAGGTGGAAATAACGAGGGTCCGGCCCCATGGACCCAGACCACTCACTGTTTGGCCGCTGCCGCAGGTACAGCAGCATCTTCCTATCGCGCTGTGCTCCGCAATGTATTAGCCACTCTTGGCTGGAGGCGGGATGACAAGCCTCTCTCCCACCTTACACACTGGCTAATCCATTGCGGAGCATAGCGCAATAGGAAGCCACTGCTATGCCTGCAGCAGCAGCTGAACAGTGAGTGAACGGTTCAGCTCCATGGGGCCGGACCCTCGTTATTTCCACCTGCAAGGAGATATTTGTATTCGTCTACGAATACGAATATCCCCATCTCTACTTAATTCCATTAGTTTCACAATTCTCTACAAAACCCCTTATGTGTAGTGGCACTTTCAGTTTCATAGAATAAATGTTCATGTAGGTTCCATTAAACTGGAGACATTTCATGGTAAGCTATAATGTCAGCATCTTTAATCAGTCTTGCTCTTTTCACTGAAGACTATATTCAAGCAGGCATCTGATCTTAACATTAACTGAAAATAATGATCATAAATATACAATACTGGAAGACCTAAACTCCTTGCACTAGTTTTATATCAACACCAAAAAATACTATGATATTTCACCTTCTAAAATGCTATTGGGTGTTTATGTAATTCATCTTAATGTTTGATGTGCAATAATGGGTTGCTATATCATAATAAATGAGACTTGACTACATTTTTCTGCCCCAGGAATAACACTGCGTGATATGGCCTAACCAGCAAAGGACATTGGTCTGCATTGCTATCTGAAACACCAGATGTGGGATAAGGATTATGCACAAAGAAACTGCACAGCAAACAATGAAGACTCATTATGACAGCTGTGATGAGAATAGGATGGGGGAGAGGTCATTAAAGTAGAAATTAGGAACGTCCGGCCCTGCTCCCCAGTATTAGAGAAAGATAATTCTTTCCTAGTGACAGGACAGATAATTCAAAAAATACTTCACAATAAAAGACACTATGATATGAACATCCAACTAATATGTATTCTGGAACACTTTCACGGACGGGATCTGATGTGTCCTCTGAAGATGCTGGCCACAGAGACTGGCGAAACGTTAGGAGGAAAAACCTCCAGAACACAACCAGAACAGCCCGAAAAACCTACAACAACCATCTAACTAATACCCAACACTGACACAGGTTATCAACTATTCAAAGGCAAAAAGAGCCAGGGAAATATATTGAAGTACATTTATTTGTATAGACCAGTATAATTTTTAAAACAATAAAGCAATACCCTCACCTCAAGAGACAGAAACAATGAGCATCACTCCAATAAACTACTCAGTCTCAAGAAGCTAACCTGATTCCCCTGAGCAAGCAGAGCCTTCAGTCGGGCTATTTCAGCTCGAAGCTCACGGATTAGCTTCACATTTGGATCCTCATTAATGGTAGGCTTATTGATTATGTTTTTAGCCCGGTTGGCATAACGCAAGGTGCTTAAGGTTTCTCCATAATTAATATCAGCAGGTGAAATAGCTGAGGAATGTGAATTTAGAAACAGAGTCATATACAAAGAACAGATTGCATTCAGACATCTTTAAAAACAAATCCTTTTGTATGGTGAGCAAGCAACAGGTATATTTTATAGCTATGATTAGGATGCTTATTCCAGAAGATATATTGTCCTCCATGGAAAGGACAATATATTTTGCCATGAGCTACTTCAAATCTCTACAAGAAGAGAAAAAGTGTGACATTCTTCCAAATATTTAATTCCACAGCTTGGACTTATGTACCTGAAGGTCTAGTAGATCTTTACAATGTTTTTTTTTTCTGGTATCAGCACAAAGATGCCCAGAAACTTATTTTTCTGTCTTGTTTCTGGGAAAGAAAGATTAACTTTATAGAATCTTGCATAAAAATGCCTAACTCCCGCAATGTGTGTGTCTCAAGAACTAACAAAAAGGATCTTTCTTTCTCTCAGAAGGCTGTACTCTGTATGGTGTGGCGAAAAACAGCCAAATTAAGCACTGTGGCTGGACATGCACTGAAGCAAGAGCAGAGGCCGATGAGCTGCCACCCCATTCATCTGACTTTTCACTCGTGTAGACAGGCACTGCTGCTCCAGAGTTGTTTCTATGACCTTTGCCTATACAATCTAAAAAAAAAAAAACCCTTTGAGGCTAGAGTGGGATCGACAGGTTACCCACCTGTAATTGTAGTTCTTCGAGTGGACCTCTGTAATTCACACCCTGCTTGGGTGATCCACACCTGCGTGGAGCCTCATCGGAAAGTTCTAGAGCTTCTGCAGTAGCAAAAGAACACATTAGAATAAGACTCCTCCCCCCTCATATAAGTACCTTGGTACCAAGGCTCCCCTTTCAGTTGTGTCAACCGCCGCTACATTAAGCAGAATGGTGTGACAGTGGGGAAGACGGGCGGGATGTGTGAATCACAGAGGTCCACTCGAAGAACTACAATTACAGATGGGTAACCTGTCGTTCTTCTTCGTGGCCTCTGTGAATTACACCATGCGTGACTAAAAAGCTGTCTTGCCCAGAGGCAAGGTGTCACGCCAAGGTAGAGGTTAGAACGGCACATCCAAAGACCACATCAGACTTCTGCCAGAGATCAAGTCTATAATGCCAGATGAAAGTGGACGGCTGTGCCCAGGTGGCAGAGGTGAAGATGTCTGGAAGAGGTACGCTGTGTAGGAATGCTGTAGAGGTCGCCACTGCTCTGGTGGAGTGAGGGCGAATCACCTTCGGGACTGGTTTGCGTGCCAGTTGATACGCGAGGTAAGTGGTTGAAGTGACCCATCTAGATATAGTTTGAGACGTCACATGGCAACCTTTAGTAGGTGGTTGGTGAATTATGAAAAGTTGAGGGGAATGCCTGAAAGGTTGGGTGCGTTGGATGTAAAAGGCAAGGGCTCACCTAACATCTAAAGTATGGAAGATTCTTTTTTTAAGTTGTGGACGGTGACAGAAAGGAGAAAGGAAGGATAAATGGCTGAGAGAGATGGAATTGAAATACGACTTTGGGGAGGAAAGAAATAAGCATGGATAGTTTGACTTTATCTGGAAAAAACTGTAAATAAGGATAGTCATGACGTAAGGCCACTAACTCACTAGCTCGTCAAGCTGAGGTGATGGCGACAAGGAAAAGGTAAGTAGCTGTAAATCAGTGGAAGCTAAAGGTTCGAAAGGAGCTTTAGTAAGTTGTTGCAGTACTAGTGTTAGTGACCATTGTGGGGAAGGCGGGCGGGAATCTGGGTAGATATGAGATAGACCTTTAAGAAAACGTTTCAATGTTGGACGCTTGAAGAAATCAGCTACCAGAGAGTAGGGGGGCTGATAAGAAACTATGGTGGAGAAGTAAACTCTCAAGGAAGAGAAGGAAAGGCCGCTAGTCTTGAGATGAAGCAAAAAAACATAGAACAGTAGCAAGTGATGGATTGATAGAAGGCAATGAAGAAGCTTTGTGAAAGATTTGAATCTGTTCCATTTATCCTTTCTAGTGGAGGGCTTCTTTGATTGCCTCTCCCAAGCAAAAAAGACACTTGGCGTTGCCGTCGGAGAGTGGTATTTTGGTATCACAAACCACGCAGAGTTTAAACAGGCCCAAAGGGGCCATGAATAGGAGAAAATAATTTGAGGAGAAAAAGCGATGATTGAAGGGGGCGGGTCCTGTGGTTGGAGGCCGAGCAAAGGAAAAAGGAAAAAAACTCTGATGATAATGAATTTATATCTAAAAGTTTAAAGAAAAAAAGACTGATAACAGGAAGGAATCAAGAATAATTCTCTTTCTCTTTTACTCACAGAAGCAGAACTATGAGGCTTTCAACATGGCGGTTGAAAGAAACTGAAAGGGGAGCCTTGGCACCAAGGTACTTATATGAGGGGAGAGGGACCTTATTCTAATGTGTTCATTGCTACCACAGAAGCTCTAGAACTTTCTGATGAGGCTCCGCGCAGGCGCGGATCACCCAGGGTGTGATTCACAGAGGCCACGAAAAAGAACCTTCCAAAACTCATGAACTGTTATTTTGAAAAGTGGCTTTTGACACTTTTAAAACAGGCAGGGATTCTGGACTGAGGCTGAGAGTATGAAAGAAACTTCTGGAGTGGGTTCCTGAAAAAAGGCCCACTTTGGACACCATAGTAGTCCAGAAATTTCAACTCTACTCACAGCGAGTAGACTAAGGGCTAAAGAATCTCCCTGCATCATCTTTTCCTTGCAGTGTAAATCCTCCCATGATTATACAGTGAGCTGTGTGTTATATCCCCATAGTCTCTGCCCTCAGATACCTAACTGTTAGAAATGAGCATTTGAGAAAGGGGTTGTCTGTTTCTTCACTCAATAGTATATTGCTAATTCTGCTGCCATCTCTCTGTTGTCCCCAGTAGGCTATTATTAACACTTCATTATCAAATAGCCCTCTTAAAAATAATAGCAATGCTGCTTAATAAATTATTTCTAGGACAATTTAAAAGGTAAAACATTGAAAACTGGTTTTAACACACACTCACTTGCAATCATGATTGTTTTAGAATTCCCTCCTAGGCTATCTTTCAAAAGCCATGTCAAAACAGAATCTCGGTAAGGCACAAATACTTGCTTCTTCTTTGTAACAGGGTTTGAGGCATCCTGAGATAAATCAGCTGTGAAAGAGGAATACATGAAAGCAGGATTTACATTACAGAAGGTCAGATAACAAGTTCTGTATTCACTGAGGTGTGCAAGAAATTAGAACTACAACAGATACATACCTAAGGCAGAAATGACATTTCCCAGAGTAACTAGGGATTTGTTAATATTCCCTCCTTCTTTTAATCTGACACCTGTAGCACCAGTGGCATCTGCTCTCTCACTTCCAGCAAGGTCTACCAAATGTATTTTGCTTACAGTCTCACACGGCATTTCAGCATCAAATTTGGCCTACAGAAAAGCAAGAATAAATGTCACCCTATGAAGCATTCCTAAAAGCAGGGCTATGCAGGCAAACAGTATCTCTTAATAAAAAAACAGTGCAGAAAAACAGAAATTGAAACAAGTGAAATACAGCTTAGTCTCAGAGTCAAAATTCACATGAAACTACAATCAGATTTCTCAGCAATTTCTTCTTTAAAGAACAATCTTTGATAAAGACAACTGATAAAGACAATAGCACTGTCTGAAGGGAGGCACCAGCGCTATCACTGCTAGATAGCTCAGTGGTTTAGGCTTCTGTCTGTAGAGTCAGAGGTTTGGAATTCAATTCCCCACTGTGCCTCCTTGACAGGGTCTAGACTTGATGATCCATAGAGTCCCTTCCAGCGGTGCAGCTCTAAGATTATCTAAGATAAATGCTATCCTTCTAAAATGCTATTATCCCTACAAATGAAACATTGGTTTCATGGTTGGGGGAAAAGATACTGGGTAAAAGGGATATATTCCCCTTCACTTTTGCTACTTTCTAATCAAGGATGGTGAACCTGATTTGAAAGTAAAACATGAAAAATACTCTTGATGCCCAGTCTCCTGCATCATGTACAGCTAGGTCCTTTGTTATGACTGATGTTTGGAAATCCATTCTCATGTTGCAGTCTTGTGCTTAAAGAAGAAAAGAAGAATGTGCAACTTTCCCCATAAGCACGAATCACAATCACCTATGTCTTGGATCAGAAATGAAGAAAAAAGATTAAGGGATTTAAATCCAAGAAGGCTTCAGCTAAACTACCTCACATTTCAGAAACACTACATTAAGCATACATATCATCTCCCCTGCTGCCAAATTGGGGATATTTGTTGCCACTGAATTCATAATGGGAGAAAAATATATATTTCATCTTCCTCAGAGGCAGTATCAGCTGAATTTGAACTATGGCTCTTAATGCGATATAAGAAATTTCTTGGTTCACCAATAACTACTTATTTACCTGAGTAAAGTTGACAGTGAAAATGGCATGGGATCGACTGCTAACATCATTCATTCCAGTGGCAGCAGTGGTCCGATTTATGTTTCCGGCTTCCATAAGTTCTTCTACATCACTATAATTTTGCACTAAGTGCTTAGACAAGTCTGATAAAATAGAAGCAAATGTGAGTACTAAGGCTGCAACCTTAATAAACTTCATCCCTTATCAAGAAAGCAAAATTATTTTAAAATATAAACATTTCATACATTCTTTGATGGATAGGCCATCTTTGAAGAGACACTCTCACACAGTAGATGCCTCTAAAATAGCATTTGCTGCCACAAGTACATGCAATGTCTAAAAACAAATGTTTTAATTGAAACTGTTGCCTAATCATAGGCACATTAATTGACAAACCAATTTGAGTAGCTAAAATTAATTTAATTAGCAGATATCCCTACTGCTTACCAATGAAAGCTTAAAAACATAGCTGGAGAGCCAATAAAGATCAGGTTTGTTTCCACTGTGGCACAATACTGCAAACACTAGTCGGTAAGCCTAGGATGTCTATGGCTGAAATCCTATTGTGTAATATACATCTATGGAAGATTGATGATATCACGGGCAAGGGCAATTTTTGGTAATTAAAAACTTCCTGCTTCTGTCTCATCGCTTTTTTGAGTCCCATGTACCCCCTTTCAAAGTGTGGAACCTGTGGGAGCCACAGAACAGAAGGAGAACATGTTTAATTATGAAAAATCTCTCCCTGCCAGCAACGTCATCTGGTGCTGGCAACTTTCAGTAATTAAAGAACCCCTCTTTCCATCCCATGGCTTCCACACAATACGAGGAATTACATGAGGGCCAGAAAAGCCACAGGACAGAAGTAGAAAGCTTTTAATTACCAAAAATTGTTCCCTGCCTGTGTGACATTATCACCCTTCCATAAGTGTATTTTATGCAACAGGATTTCAAACCATTCTTTTCACAGAACTTGTAGAACTATCAAATGTACAGAATGTTGGTCTAAAGAGAAATCTGTACTCTGCAAAGTACTAAATAGTTTGTTTTCTCAGATTACTGTGGCATAAATTGGAAGGGGATGGATTATGCCATTTAAATTCTAATATATGCTCTGTTATCACATGTGCCTTTGATTTATAAATCAGATATATCATTAATCTCAAATCAATTAATAGAAGAACATGATAGAGGAAATCTCTAAAATTTACACGATGACTAAGAACAAACTATACACAAATTAGCAAACCCAGAGAGATCATAGAGGTTTATAACTTAATTTCCACTGGCCTTTAGTCTACGTAGCAAACCCAGAGAGATCATAGAGGTTTAAAGTTATTTCCACTGGCCTTTAGTCTATACCCAAGACAAATTTATTCAATCAAATATACAATTTAATTTTGAATAAATGGAAAGAAAATGCAATTTGAATCCTACCCTCAACATATGGACCTTCTTTTGGATGTTCACGAATTCTTAAGTTATTTGTTTTTGAAGATTTGCGCCTCAGTAAGTCTCTGACACGTTCATTGTAAATTTCAAGGTAACTGAAATATAAAATCATACAAATACTGTCCATTTAAAAGTAAATCTATTAACTGAATCACATACACACAACATTCATACAGCTATATGAATACAGTGGTGCCCCATTTGACGATTACCCTGGCAGATGACAAAATCGCTTAATGATGAGGTTTTTGCAATCAGTATTGTGATTGGAAAACAATGTTTCAATGGGGAAAATCTGCTTCATGACAATCGGTTCCCTGCTTCGGGAACCGATTTTTCGCTTCACGACGATCTTTACAGCTGATCGTTGGGTTTTCAAAATGGCCGCCCGCTATTTTCCGGACCTATTTCTGGAAGATAGCGATTGAAAATGGCTTCCCCTATGGAGGATCTTAGCTGGACGATGAGGTATTTCGCCCATTGGAATGCATTGAACCAGTTTTCAATGCATTTCAATGGGGTTTTTTTTGCTTGACGACGATATCGCTTAACAGCGATTTTAATGGAACAGATTAACATCGTCAAACGGGGCACCACTGTATAGGCTTCAGCTACTAATCCATATGTGTCATGGACTAGTTGAGCCCTGTGGCACAGCAGTTAAACTGCAAGACTGCAGTCAAGTCTCTGCTTACGATCTGAGTTCAATCCCAACAGGTTCAGGTAGCTGGCTCAAGGTTGACAGTCCTTCATCCTTCTGAAGTTGGTTAAATCAGTACACAGCTTGCTAGGGGACAAAGTTCTTTGCATAATTATACTGTAAACTGCCCACAAAGTGTTCTAGCTCTATGGAGGGGGTATATAAGTCGAAGCAATTACTACTACAATATTTATTTGACCACGTGATCTCAAAAATTTTGCAGTCAGCATCCAACACTCAGATGGGCCATAAAACAGAGATAAACCAAATCCAGATCTAATTTTCAGATGTAATCATATAGCCTGTACAATCACTATTTAAGTTTCTGTTAGAAATGGGCACAAATTAAAAAACAAATCACCAGATCTGTTCAAAAATTGCTAATTCGTTGATATGTATTATTATGAATCAATGCCCCCAGCGAATAAGGATCGATGAATTTTTAGCTATTTTTGATTTGTAGATTCATTTGGCTATAAAACAGCCCACAAGGCACCTAGAAATACCCAAACTCCAGGTATACCTCCTCTGACTTCTCTCTACAATCCTTCTAAGTTTAGTATAGACTGGGTTTCATATGTGTGGGTTATACACCCAAAAAAGGATGACCCATGAAACTTCCCCCCAGGCACCTAGAGACACCAACATCACAGAGAAGCTTCTACTGACTCTCCTCTACAATTTTTCCAAGTTTAGCGAAGATTGGGTTTCCCCAAGCCAGCTGCTAAAGAGGACTTTCCTGGGAGGACCCACTTTGTGGGTGTATAACGTAGAAGTCTGAAACTCAATCTTCACCAAATTTGGAGGGATTATAGAGGAGAGTCAACTCCATTTCCTTGTTTTGTTTCCTAAACACCTAAGTTAGGGCTTTCCCAACAGGATTATATAATAATAACTGTGCTGAAACCACTTGCCATAAATAAATACATGTATGAGAATATGTAGCAGGATACAGTGGTGCCCTGCATAGCGACGTTAATCCGTTCCAGGATTAACATTGCTATCTGGATTCGTCGCTGTGCGGGGGGGGGGGACTCCATAGGAACACATTAAACTCTGTTGAATGCGTTCCTATTGGGGAAAAAATCACCGCTATGCGGGGAATCCTCCAACCGGCTGCCATTTTCGCCACCCGGTAAGCGAGGGCAGGGCGTGAAAACGCTGCGGGCGGCCATTTTGTTGACCTGGCGGCCATTTTGGAACCACCGATCAGCTGTTCCCAAGACATCGCAATGCAAAGATCAGTAAGCAAAACGCTTAACGATCATCGCAATGCAATGTTTTGCCTATTAAAACATCGCAATGTGATCGCATTAGCGATCGCAAAAAAAACCATCGCTATGCGGATTCATCGTTAAACGGTGTGCTCGTTAAGCGAGGCACCACTGTATACAGGGACTGAGGACCATGTGTTTATATGAAGTTGAACATTTAGGCCATCATGCAAAGTTTGGTTGACACTGGCTGCCAGCAGTTCTCAAACTTTTCAGATGGGGCGCATCTTTCCCCCGCCCCAGTCCTACCTGTTAATGCCAGGGGTTAAATATGAGGTCTTTTCAATATGAGGTCTTTTCCCTGTCACTGAACTGCAGTCATTCCTGCTAAAATAACTGGTGTTTGCATGACATTTTAAATGTAACCAAAATAAATTGTTTGCATTACCAAAATAATGATCATTATGTTAATCCATGTAGCCCAGTCCTGTGGATGAGATCTGAACTGAAAACCTCCCTCCTCCATGTTATGTCTTTAACTAGCAGGCCACGCTGTGCTATAATAAGCAAAAGCTTGAGAGTTTTATAACAGCTTGTAACTGGGCATGCTAAGCAGGGAAAAATACATTTTTCACCTCTCTTGCACCACACCATAAATAAATTTGTGCTAAATGCATAATACAAAGGCTACATAAGAGTAGGTTTCAAAAAGATCATCTCATCTTGTGACACGGGCATGGCAGGGAGATGAGATCAGGCTTCTTTGCTAGCAGCACTAGATTATGTAATTTTCTATCCTGCTGTAAATCCACTCCATTTTGTGCATTTAGGTGATAGGTCAAAATGGTCGTATTTGAACATCCTTTTCATAATACTGTCACTAACTGACTACACTGAAATTATTTTTTAAATTACTTGGATTTTAGCATTTCACTGTAAGCCTACTTAGGGCTGAAGATGCAGGATAGAAATAAAACAATGACTAAAACATAAAAATGAGACGTATGTATTATCCATAAGAAAACAACAACCCAAAATGCAAATTCAAATTACAACAATGCCTTTATAGACCAACTGAGAAAGCACAAAATTATGTGTAAATTTTTGTAAGCTCCAGATCTCTTGCTCTGACAAAACAGTACAAAAATCAATACGAGGGTGGGAAGGAAAACTTGTAATGTTAAGTCATGTTATCTGCACAGCATCTTAAAATACGAGGAGGAAGGGTCTGCCAACATCCAAATGAGGTTCTGTCAGGTTGTGTGACTGTATCTACTGAAGATACAAGGAGCAAAGCACACAAGAAGTTTGACATGCCATTTTTGAAAATATTGAATTCAACTGTTATAAAGAGCTTTGTCCAGCATGTGAAGAGTTCCAGATGTTATAGTCAGATTTTTATGCCTTTTTGGTCATTGTACTGAAGATACTGTCCTAATGAGGATTTTGCAACTTTTTTCCTTTCCAAAACACTCATTTAGAATATTCCTCTTGAAGCATGACACCTTCACACCTATTTGTCCTAAATATCTTAATAGGGCCATTTGAAAGCAGAACAATCTGTATCTGTCCTTTTTATTGGTGGTCTCTTCCTATTTCCCCAAAGAAAGAAGGATTTGCCATTTCTCATCCTCCCAATTAGTCTTCTTCCTTTCAAGCTGTTAACAATCTCTCTCTCTTAAGAGTGGGCAATGGTCCCAATCAGACCATGTGCTCCAGCTTAGCACAAGGTCACCTACCTAAATTAGGAAGCAGGCTTTCCCATCAATGTATTTTCTAAATAAAACCCAATAATTGTTTTTACTCTAAGCTCAACCTATATCTAGTTCATTGCTCCAGAGAACAGATAAACAAAGTGGACTTAAATGCCTAGACTGCTGCAGCTATTCTGCTATACAAAGGAATTCATTAACAGCACTCTCCTGAGTGGGAAAATTTTATGGAAAGATCCTAATAGATGTGTGCACAATAAAGCTTTTTAGAGTCATTTGAAGAGAACATAATAAAAAGTTTTGGATTTTCGATGCTAAATGGAATAGAGATAACAGAACAAGACTATGGCATGGTAATTGGATCAATGGTAATAAAATCAAGGTTTGAGGCCCCATTTTTAGTTCTTGTATAGCCTCTTAACTCTGCTAGTTCTTCCTTTCTCCTGAATAAGTAATGTCTTGTGAGTTTCTAGACTGACATATTTCCTGGCTTGAGAAAAACTCAGCAAAAAGGGAAGGTAAAGGCAAAGAAACCAACTTCAGCACTATATAGAAACTCAGCTGTTGAGCCAACATACCTGACTTCTGTCCGAAATGAGGCTTCATTCCTTCTTGTTTTTTCATTGATTTGGTTAAACAGTCCTTCAGAAATCCGAGGTATTAAACCAGCATCCCCCTACAACATTAAAAGCTACTGTTATAATACAACATATTTAAGACAGCAAAAGCAATCTGGAAAACCACTGAGATAATATTCAATGCCAAAAATATTGAATTCAATTCACAAATTGGGGTGCCTGCTGGATTTTTCCTATCCTTTTATCCTAATAAGCCAATAAAGTTCCCTTTTAAATTTGCTCAGGGAGTGGTTGGGTGAGCTGGCGAATCTTTTGGGACATTGTGGGAATCAAAGAAGAGGGGATGCAAAGGGTATTGTTTGCGTTGTCTCAGTTCACAGAGGAATATCTTCACATCCCTCAGAGTTTAGAAAGTGTTTCGGGAGAAATTTCAAGCTCACACATGTATTAAGCATAATCATTTATAACCAAAGAAATGTAATTAACCTAACCAAAAGCAGAAACCCAACTAGCCAAAATGGTTGATGGCCACTGTGCTAAGAGTAGGTCAGCTAAGGTTGTGTAGACTCCAAAATCCTCACAGCCTAAAAATGTGGCAAATTATTTAGGACTATTTCACCTTGGCCTAACTCTATGCCGCCATAGTCACATGTCCCTGAACTGCTGCAGGGTCTGGATCTGGTGTACCATGGCTCTCTTTTCTGCCAACTGGCTGGCAGAACAATTCTCCTGGCAAATTTCACTGAGGTGAGGCAGCAGAAGGAGGTTTTGCTGCACAAGGTATTTTTGCTGGCAAAAGAGGTTTCTGCTAATTCTTAATAGCAAACAGTTAATGCATTGTTGTTGTGGGTTTTTCTTCCTAACGTGCTGCACAAGGTATTTTTGCTGGCAAAAGAGGTTTCTGCTTATTCTTAATAGCAAACAGTTTATGCATCCTTGAATCAACTCACTATAAGTGAGTTTGCTAAATTCCTATTTTGGTATTTCCTAATTTAAATTAACATTTGCTAAACATTTAAAAAACCCTTGAGATTATTTTATTTAATAAAAGATAAATCAGGAGATTGCTTGTGACAATTCAGAATATATGTTGGGTCTCTTTACTTACACCGCAGGAAAATAATACAATTGAGAAAGCTATTCAACTTCTGAAAGATAAAGAAAACTCTTTAAAAAAACCTACAGCATTTCCCATCATTGTATAAGACTTGCCAGATCCAGTCTGTCCGTATGCAAAAATACAAGCATTATAACCTTCAAAAGCAGATTTGAGAACATCAGTGCCAAGGTTATTAAAGACCTGGAAAAAACAAGAAGAACAATAAAAGAGAGAGATGGAGAGAGAGAACAGTAATGTCCCATAATATAATCTAAAATTTAACATCTAACTTGTTTACTTCAGTGAAGTATTACAACTTTTATAATACAGCACACTGGGGAAAAACTGCCTTACTGAAGTGTTTACTATGAATGTTTAGTTCAATCAGCTCAACAGTTTTTTAAAAAAATTAAAGTAATTAAATTTGCAAGTTCACAAAAAAGGCCACAGAAGTGCAGACCACCTCTGATACCACCTGATATTTGCTTAATGTTTTTCCACTTACATTTGTCAATTATTCTTCTCTAGAATGTCTGCAAGGGTCACAAAATGCATCCAACCCATTCCTTTCAGGTTGCATTATTGAGGGTTCTTACTCTGAGACAAATTAAGGAAAAGCAATGCTAAAACCTGGCCTTTTTCTGTAGTGGCACCCTCACTGTGGATTAAACTTCCACCAGAAATTAGATAGGCCCCCTCCCTATGCATATTTAGAAGATCAGTAAAAACTGGATCATTTAAGGAGGCATTTGGCAATTGAGTCCCATATTCTACTGCAGTTACTGATTATTTTATTATATTACTGGATATTTTGTTAATATGTTATGGTTTGTACAGTTTGGTTCACCTGAGCCACCAGGAGGCAATCCTAGGTCACCTTCCTGGTTTTGTTTTTGTTTGTGGTATTAACTATGCATTCTTTTATTATTTTAATTTGCATATTTTGCTTAATTATGTAAACCACCCTGAGTAGTATTTCATTAAGTTGGGCAGTCTAGAAGCTCAATGAATGGATGAATGAATGAATTTTCTGAAGCAGCACAAGATCCAAGTATAGCATAAGATGTGTATTTCCTCTTCTTCCCCCCCATACTTTAAGGGCTTCAAGACAAAAGTATCATTTGCTTAAAATATGGTTAATCTCAACATGATCTTAAATTACCTAGTACATATGAAGGTTTGAAGCAAAAACTGCTTCATTCTCTTACCTGCATTTTTAGCACAACACAAAAGAAGACTTTTTTATTTCACAGATACAGTATCCACATATACTAACATACATATGTATGGAGGGTATAAGTAACATTGGCTACTCTGTTTTCTTTCTCTGTGCCAAGGCACACATGGATTCCTCCTCTTTTTGAGTTACCATAGGCCATAAGACAGGAGGGCCTGGTGTGCTCTGGTCCATGGGGTCATGAAGAGTCGGACACGACTAAAATGACTAAACAACAATAGGCCACATACATTGCTTAAAGTATCAGGGGTACAAAAGAACCTGATTCTTTGTACTAGACCATATAGCCTTTGAAAGGCAAAGCATGATTCCTTTTTTGGTACAACGTAAAAGTTGGCTGATTGGCTGTGGAGCCTGAATTAGAGGTCTGAATCCCTGCTGGGCCTTCCAAGAGGAGAGACCAGCATGGACAAGCTGCACCACCATGGAAGGAGGGACCGGCAAAACGCTTCTGAGTACTTTACACCTAGAAAAACCTTGGAAGGCTTATCATAGGTCAGAATTCTCGGGATGGCATGTAATGAATTATGTAGATTACATATTGATCTCAGAAATGTGAAGTAGGTACAATGATTTTTGTTAAACACAAGTTGCCTGAATTTTGTCTTCTGAACATTTATAGTATGTTTTAACAGACATGTTTTAACTGATCTGTTTTTATTGTGTTTAAGTTGGTTCCCTTTACATTTCAGTTACAGTGTTGCATTTTATTTTAATTTTAAAATTTTAAATAAGATCAGGGGAACAATGTTAGGGTTACATTTTCATTTTAAAATAAAATCACAGATGTCTATCTGCATACCATTTCCTGAGATGCATAGTCTGGACTTTTAGGATCTGCTGAGAAGTAAGAGAAATCATAAGTAAAAGTTTTCGTTCGTTCTCGTCCCATGTCTCCAGTCCCTCCCTCTGGTATCTAAAGAAGAAAAACAAGCAATTCATCATTGCATACCATGCCAAAGTAATAATGATGTTCTCTTCCAGCATTATCTCTGAAGAACACAAAATAAGCTGGTGGTATTTTAAACATTCATCTATGGATTAGTTTAAAAAAAAAGTTGCTCATCATATGAAATACAGGCTCCCAGAATATGAAACAGTAAGAAACTAAAACGAAAAAGTCAATATTTATTTCACAGTTTAAGATTGTCCTACTATGGCTTTAATACTTACACAGTGGCAGAGATTTTTGGAAATTAAAGACCCCTGTGTTCTGTAGCCCCCAACAGGTTCCCCACAATGAAAGGAATTCAAAGAAAGCATAAGGATCTTTCTGAGAAAGGAGATCAGGAGTTTTTAATTTCCGAAAATCGCCATGGCCGATGAGGTCATCTGCATCACATAGAATAAACTGTACAACAGGAGTTCAGCCAGAAAGACAAAATACAGTAAGACACAATAATATGCCAAAACTTGCCAAGTGCTAATCTAAACATTTTTCTCTTTAAAATGAAGTTTCACAAAATTACAGGTAAAAGCAAAATAGAAATAAAAAGTTTTTAAAAGACAGCAATGTGGTGGCACTTTAAAGACTTTTATATTTTCTAATGTAAGCATTTCTGTATTATGATGATCATCATAATTGTTTATCATAATATAGCTACAAAACCAGCCAATCTGGGTGGTTTCAACATTGCAATTAGTTTTCCCCCAGCTACCTATCTTTAGGAAACATAAGACGCAGAGACTTTCCACCCCCCTGTTTTGTGGGGGAAAAAGTGTGTCTTATGGTGCGAAAAATACGGTAGTTTTCCCCCAGCTACCTATCTTTAAAAATAAGCATGCAGCTTATTTTTAGTGTCTGTTTTTTCTTATTTGGAGTGTAAGCAGTAAATGGCTATGAACTGCCTTCATGGAAGCATGCCAATGAAAAGCAGGCAAGTAAAGGTTTGGATTTGTCTATATATCAGATTGGAAAAATACAAAATCAACTTTATTGCTTTTTTTTCCTGATAAGGTATTTCTACCTTTTGATATCAGAAAATAAATTGAGAGATACAGGACATATAATTAACATAAAATACATTTTTCATTGTATACACTGGTAAATCAAAAAGAATAAATTAGATCACAGTTCGTTCCAGCTCTATTAAAATATTCTGAACATTTTGCAAATTCAGTTTTTTTCCTGAAAATCTGTATCATTACTGTATGATAAAGCAGCATGCCCATCTTTTGATCTATTACTCTCAAACTGTTAAAAGAGAGATATAAAGGAATACACAAACAAACACACACACACACACACACACATATGTATGTATGTACATAGTGGCTAATTCCTCTTTTCTGTTTTCAAGCATCTATTACCTTGGTATTTGTAATTGTTGTTTTATTTTTCTCCATTGAAATAATAAATTTAGCATCGAGATCCTTTTCCCTGTAAAATTAACAGATTACAGGAGGTTAAGATCACTACATAAAAAATGAGAATTCTAGGCATTAGTTTTCTATTAAAACAAATTCTTACATAACAAAAACTCTTACTGTAACAACTTGAGTTGTTGTAACTTGACTGATACTATACTTAGCCCAAGTGCTGGTTCACCAGGTTCCCACAGCATCTAATTTAGATGAGACTAACAACTCCATTTAGTTTTTTTTTTTCAATCCAAGTCCCAAAATATTCCTGAGAACTTTCAAAGAGTCCTTAACTATCTTCTCGTCTTGCCACCTCAGAAGGTCTCTAAGTAACTAGTTGGTTCGGCTTTAAATCTGGTGCTAAATCTACTGTTACAGAAAACTAGGACAGGTACTAAACTAAATCTGGTGCTAAATCTACTGTTACAGACTGGTACTAAATTGCCAGTCAATTACCCTCTAGTCTCAGTGTATCTCAACTCTGTTGGAGAACTACTGTATTAGAAGACTACTTCTGCTGTAGAAGACTACTACTGTGTCTCTGAACCTTGGCTGAGAGCAAGGGTCTCCAAACTATGGTCTGCAGGTAAATCTGGTGCTAAATCTACTGTTACAGACTGGTACTAAATTGCCAGTCAATTACCCTCTAGTCTCAGTGTATCTCAACTCTGTTGGAGAACTACTGTATTAGAAGACTACTTCTGCTGTAGAAGACTACTACTGTGTCTCTGAACCTTGGCTGAGAGCAAGGGTCTCCAAACTATGGTCTGCAGGTCATATCTGGCTTCTGCTGTAGAAGACTACTACTGTGTCTGGTCCGCAGGTCATATCTGGCCTTTGCTTTTTTATCCAGCCCGGTGGGCAGGTGGGCGTGTGTGTATGAGTGCGGGCCAGCAGGCAGTCAGGTGTGCATGCGGGTCTTCCTTTCACCCTCAAAACTGTGGACCATATATGATGTGGCCCTCCTGCTGAAATGTTTGGAGACCCCTGGCTTAGAGGGCCAAGTAGCTAGTGAAAGTAAATGAGAGTTTCTATCCCACATCAGTTCAGTTAATCAAAAATATCTACTAATGCATACGCAAAGAACACAGTGAACTACAGCCAAAAGGATTGACAAAATGTACATTCCAGTTAATCAAAAATATCTACTAATGCATAAGCAAAGAACACAGTGAACTACAGCCAAAAGGATTGACAAAATGTACATTCTATCTGTTCTAGTCATTAAGCAAGGAAGATTGGTCACATACTACATGGTAACAGTGGTTCTGCAACACTTGGCAGCAAGCTTGGATTAGACAGCAATAATCTAATATGAAAGAAGAAATCCAAGATCAGCTTCTGCTAATTCTACCCAAACACTTTCACACAAAGCTCAGATGAATAGCAAAGAGAACTTGGCTGTGAAACTGATGCACAGAATTTGCTTCAGGATATACAGCAGGGGTGAAACAAAGGTTACTCAATGGTTGCAGCATAAACTTTCCCCTTCAAGCAAAGGATGGCAGGTTGAAGGTCTCTGTTTACTCTCAAGTGTAGCCAAAGCCTCTTTCCATTGCAACTTAACATTATGTAGTGAAGCCTATAGCCACAGGAAAACAACTTCTTGGCTTCTAATCAACACTAATGATCAACATACAAATTCCTCAGGGTAGTGCCTAGCAGTTCTTCTATGTATTACAGTGGTGCCTCGCATTACGACATTAATTTGTTCCAGTGAAATCGCTGTAGAATGAAAACGTCATAATGCGAAAATAAAAGTCTATTCTAGTCATTAAGCAAGGAAGATTGGGCACATACTACATGGTAACTGTTTCTGCAACACTTGGCAGCAAGCTTGGATTAGACAGCAATAATCTCCTAATATGAAAGAAGAAATCCAAGAACAGCTTCTGCTAATTCTACCCGAACACTTTCACGCAAAGCTCAGATGAATAGCAAAGAGAACTTGGCTGTGAAACTGATGCACAGAATTTGCTTCAGGATATACAGCAGGGGTGAAACAAAGGTTACTCAATGGTTGCAGCATAAACTTTCCCCTTCAAGCAAAGGATGGCAGGTTGAAGGTCTCTGTTTACTCTCAAGTGTAGCCAAAGCCTCTTTCCATTGCAACTTAACATTATGTAGTGAAGCCTATAGCCACAGGAAAACAACTTCTTGGCTTCTAATCAACACTAATGATCAACATACAAATTCCTCAGGGTAGTGCCTAGCAGTTCTTCTATGTATTACAGTGGTGCCTTGCATTACGACGTTAATTCGTTCCAGAGAAATCGCTGTAAAACGAAAACATCATAATGCGAAAATAAAAGACCCATTGAAACGCACTGAAACCCCTTCAATGGGTTCCAATGGGCTAGAAACTCACCATCCAGCGAAGATCCTCCATACGGCGGGCATTTTTGCTGCCTCTATAGCGAGGAATCCATCTCAGAAAACAGCGGGAAGCCATTTTGAGCACCCGGCGGCCATTTTGAAACTGCCAGTCAGCTGTCCGAAAATCGTCGGTTTGCAAAGAAGCAAGGAACCGATCATCGCAAAGCGAAAAACCCCTGTTCAGACCATCATTTTGTGATCACAAAAAGATTGTCGTAATGCAGTTTCGTCATAATGCGGGGCAATCATAAAGCGAGGCACCACTGTATATTGATTTCTTAGGCTGAAAGTAACAGCAAATAAGCTGCTACAAAATAAATCTTGCAAGTCAATGCAAGTGATTCCTGCATTGCTCATGAGTATATGATGGTTATCCTCTACCACAGGGTCCGCAACCCCGGTCCACCGACCGGTCCCAGTCCACGGCCTTGCCAGGATTGGGCCATGAAGACAAATGTCCTGCCCCCCTGCATGCACAGATGCATGCACAGCCCCTCCCACGCACACACGGCCCCTCGCACTCTAAACTGGTCCATGGAGGCAAAAAGGTTGGGGACCACTCCTCTACCATGTTGCTATTGATCAGGAAAAGATAGACAGAAGCAAGTAGTAACAGTCCACCTCGTAACACAGTCGATATGTAGCTGTAGAAAATAGTAGCTGGTCCTGTTAATGTAAGCTACACTGCACAAGGCTAATTATATCATCAGCCAGCACAACTTTTCAGAAACTAAAACACTATTTCTATCTTGAGGCACCCACAGTTCCAGGAGACTGGAGAAGAAAGTTTTTAATTTTAAAGTCATCCTGGCAGCAGTGATTTTCCCCAATTAAAAGCTTTGTCCTCCCCTACTGCAGTCTCCAAAGGTTGCTGATAATGAATGCATTATATGAGAGTTCTGGGTGCCTCAAAGCAAAAGTAGGAAAAGTTTAATTTCCAAAAAAGAAATTGTCTTGGCTGATGACACTGTCCACCTTACACAGCATAACTTCAGTAAACAGAATTTCAGTCCAGTGCAACACACAATGGGTCTACATGTATGGTATTGTGTTGCTTGAATAACTACGTTGTAAACCACCCAGAGAGTGCTCTAACACAGGGGCCCCCAATCCCCAGTCTGCAACCCAGCAGCGGCCTAGGCACAGATCTCCTACTCTCCCAAATGAGCATGCCCCACACATCTGTGCAAGCACGTTATGCCCCCTGCAAGTGTGATGGGCCCCCAACCAGTCTGCGGTTGGGAAAAGGTTGGGGACCACTGCTCTAACACTAGGGGGTCATATATAAACAGAAAGAACACCACAAAGAAGTATGTTTTCAGAAGGAAAAGGCGATATAAAGAATAATGTGAGCACGCAATCTGCAGGACACAAAACTGTTCCACTCAAAGGAAGGGAAAGGAGAGACAGCACCGATGGTAGAGCAAGAGTGAACAACGCGAAGCCCTATTACCACATGTGGCCTTCAGACTGATCTGACAAAAATTGGCCCCATATTTAAGTCATGTGCAAGTGAGGTCAGCTTTCAGTTATCTATGCCTTCCCCTCCTACGGGGGTGGAGAAAAGGGAGCTCGACTAAGAGCTGACAAAAGGAGAGAAACATGGATTTATCTAGTTTTGGTTTTAACCTCATGAAGACAGATTACCCTTGAGGGAAACTGGCTCTCAGAAGAAAGAAGTCACCCCTGGGGTCTAGAGATTTTCAGGAAGATTGTGATAGGAAGTGATTGTGTCCCATGCAACTCATAAGAATGATCAATAAAAGGCAACAAATTATCTTTCAAATTGTGTAATAAAGCTCACACTATCACCACAGATTTTGCACAGAATTATTATTTTCACAACAAAAAAAAACCGAAACAAAACCCAGATACTTTGGCTGTATAGCACATAATCTAATGAATCTTTAGCTGGCAGTTGCTTATAATTTTCTTCCATATTCTGGGAAAAAGGGAAGCACAGTAGAAACAGAACTTGATATCATATGTCTCTAACGAGTTTAGCCAAATACTTTTATTTTCAATTCTTGGTGAAATAAGATATTCTATAATGTTTCATTCATAACTAAGCTGTTTTGCATTCATCTTTTCCAGATAATCTTCTGTAGAGCCTGAAAGTTTAATTTGCCACTGTGAAGAATGCCAGAATGTCCCTTGTAGAAACCGTCACAGAATATGGTGCCTTGCAAATATGATGCAAATAGTCGATAAAAGCATTGTAAAAGACTTAATCCTATCAGGTTTGGAAAGTTTGAAGATGAAAAAAGTACTGTTAGTTTACTGACTATAAAAATAAATGTTTAATACTATTTCAAGCAGGTGGGAAAACTCAGCTTTGCACTCTGCTACTCCTTTTTGTGTCTTATCTTTTAGATCAGGGGTCTCCAAACTTTTCAGTATGAGGGCCACATCATATATTTTACACATTTTTGAGGGCTGTCTGGGCCAGATAAAAAAGCAAGATGGGCCGGATATAGCCTGCAGGCCCCAGTTTGGAGATCCCTGTTTTAGATTGTAAGCCCAAAAGCATGGACTCACATTGTACTGACCTATTTAGTGCTAATTTGTTATAGTATGTGTGCTCAGGTGGCCATTTTGGGGCACCTGATGTTTAGCACATTGGCTTGGATACAAGGAACTCTG